TATGAAACCAAAATTCGTTTTTTGACCATTGTAACTAAGAAAAATTTAGAGCCTACATTGATTGTACATGGATATGCATTTATTCTGTGTGCTACTCCAGTCCCTCGGGGGTTAAAATTCAGTGTCTGTTCTATAGTTGACTGGAGCGAAGTTCTAATTCATTTACATGGCTCTTCACATTCTTTTTCAGTTGTTTTCATTAACCTTTTGCTTTTTCATTGATGTGAGTCATGTGACTAATGCATTTATTCATTCTTCCTGAACATTTAGGAAAATGTTCAAGCAGATAGGGATGACCCCAGTCAACCATTGGTAACTGCTCCATTTGGGCATGCATCACAGGTATCTATAAATTGATGAAAATTTCATTAGATTGTTCTCAGTACAATAACTTGATATGCTACACTTATACCTGCCCTTGTTATCCCTAAACAAGAATTTTCTTAAACAGGAAATCGTAAACCTACTGCTTTCTGGAAATGCTGCTGCTAATGTGTTTGATGGGAAGATGGACTTAGGAGGTGGCATGTTTGTGAATGGCATCTCTACACCCGTGGAAGTTGGATTCCTTACTCTACTAGAGTCCCTCAATTTTTGTAAGGTTGGCCAATATCTGAAATGTCCAAGGTGGCCAATATGGGTAGTCGGAAGTGAGTCTCATTATACAGTGTTATTTGCTCTTGATACTAACGTCCAGGATGAAAACGAACTTGAAAGTAGAGAATCACAAATCCGGAGAGCGTTTGATGCCCAAGACCAAAGTGGAGGTGGTGGGTTCATTAGTGTGGAAGGCTTCCATCAAGTCCTAAAGGAAACAAACATTAGCCTTCCGTCTGAGAAGCTTGAGCATCTTTGCAGCATGGGTTTTATTGTATGGAGTGAATTTTGGCAGGTTCTTTTGGATTTAGATAAGAGTTTAGGAGGCGTGAAGGATTCAACTGGATTGATGGGTAAGAAGGTCTTTGATCTTTACCACTTTAATGGGATAGCAAAATCAATTGTGAATGGCAGCCAGGCATCGTCTGGAACTGAAAATCTGATGCAACGACCTAGGCTAACAAAATTGAGAGTTTCAGTTCCCCCAAGGTGGACACCCGAAGAATTCATGGCAGATGTATCAGGGCCTTCTGGCGAGAAACAGAATTCAGATGAAATATCTAAACCTGAGCCTCCTCAACATGCACCATTGGTTGATTGCATTAGAACTCGCTGGAATCGTGCGGTTTGCAATTGGGAAGGGGACGCACCAAGTATTGTCTGATTGAGTCATAAATTTATGTGCATTGTTGATGTTGGATATGGACGAGTATATTGTCCATGAGTGAAGAGCTCACACACTATTTGAGATAAGGGTTTCCAGAAGTAGAAAGAATGGGTGTTTCCTCCATTTTTCCATCTGAGACACCATTTTGACTTTGTTGTAGCATTTATAGTCCATTTCGATTGAAAACATCTCCAATTCTGGGGCGAGGGAATATTTTGGCGTTTTTCTTTTTCTTGTGAAACTTTTAGACTACGTGAAGCTTTGGCTATTAATGGCTATTGATTCGGAAGTTCTTTTTAGGCTGGGGAGGTCTTCAATACATTTCGTAGGGCAGGGTTTGTTGTGACCACAAAGTCTCCCCCTTCCTTCATAACTGTGTTGTTAATTAGTCGTCTATTTTTAAATACAAGCCCTTTTCGAAGTTTTTGGCAGACGTGGCATTTGTCTTGGTGGTACAATTTATCTCGTTTTTACTTTATATCAGAGGTTAACCTTTTGTTACGATTCTAATTGTGTTGTGTCGCTAAGTGAAGGCTGAATCTGTAGGCTTATAATTTTAACTATCTAAGCATTCTCTCCTTGCAGATCTGTAAGGGTGGGTTATATTTTTCAACGTTATAATATTTTGTAGAGGAGAAGTGCTCCTTTTGATGATGATTTCTTGTGGTTGGATTGATTTAGGGATGTTTTTAGTAGAATAATGGTTCTATAAAGTCATTAAACTGGGAATATGGATTATCGGGGACTATGATAATGCTACACTATTCAAGTATATTTCAATTTTCAAACCCTATACATCCCTCTATATTATTTCAAAACATGGCACCTGCTCGTGCACTCTCCTCTTTCTTCGTCTCTACTTAATAGTTCTCCATTTTCTTTCTTCTTAAAACTTGTTAGCCTTATTCTGTAATGGCTAAAAAGCCTCTAATAATGCCCACTATCTTCACATTGCAAGTCTTTTTACTAATATTTCAGCAGGTTGATCAAGTTCACAGTGCTACGCATACTCAATTTCTGAAGGTTAAACCAAAGTCATTTGCTTCCTTGTGTAACTTCTATGGGTTTTTGCTGAAAGGAATGCCTGCGCCGCCTTCTGGTTCTCTGTGGCAGCACAATGACATTGTTTTGGGGGGCTGACAAGGATCACCTTGAAGATGTATAGTTGCATGTATAGCAAAAGTACTGTCACTTGGAAGTTCTACATGTGAGTTTCTTTTAGGTGTTTTTTCGAGAAGTTATAGGAATGCATTCTCAAGCTACTTCATGGCCTGAAGAAGGGTTACTTTTAGTAGAATAATAGTTCTATGAAGTCGTTGAACTGGGAATATGGACTGTCGTGGACATCGATTGTGTAATAATGTGTGAATCGTTACAGGATTGCTGTTTATAAACATTTCTGTTTGCTGAACCTTTTGAAATTACCATGTTGTCTTTATATGCGGTATAACTCAAAACTGCAAGCCAAACTGCACTGCAATCTATTGAAGAGAAGATATAAAGGAGTATATATGGTTCCTTTCTAATCAGAGATGACTCTAGATGGCGTGGCTAATATGGTATTAAAACTAGACAAAAGACTTGGGATTGAGTTTCAACGGTACCTAGTTACGAAAACTTGTGCGAGTGTCATGTTGGGAAATTACCAATACCGGGGTTTAGAAAAGAAACTAAGGAATGAAAATTTAAGAAGATGAAATATGAACAAGAAGATCAAATCAATATGAAGGTTTAAACACGAAAATAATATCGCTTTCCTTGAACGATATTTGCTCCCTCTCCGAATTATACGAGATGCTTCAAGGGTTTTATGGCAAATGGTTCGTAGTATTGATCAAGCCTAGTTGCAGGAAAACACTAAAATATAAATGTTTTCCACCCAAACTTGAATAACAATTGGGAAATTTTGAATATGGATGAAGAAAACTTTGGTTTATTCTTATGGAATGAAGGAATGTTTTATCATATGTCATCTTTTATTTTATATTAATTCCATTGATCATCCATGACCTATTTATAGGCCTCAATCAATGCCGCGAATTGGTGCTAAAAAATCGTGTCGAAAAGTTACAAAAACATTCCAAAAGGCGCCAGAAATTAAATCGAAAACGGTCTTCTAACGGTCAAAATTTACAACCATGCGACCAATACCATGTGGTCGCATGGTTCAACATACTAATGCCTTGAATTTTATGCCTCAGGGCATGCGACTGCATAGCCTCTTGGCATATGCGGTCGCATAGGCCAATGTATTGGCTATCATCTCCTTTTCATTTCACACACGTATCTTTATGGATTTTGAACAATATTTCAACAATCCTCCACTTGTTCAAAATCCAATAAAGTCTCAAATTCAAAGTATACGATACACATATATAAGAATTATATATCTTTCGATTTGAATCTAATCATAGTGTAATTCTTACAAGGTAAAGTCTGAATCAAAGGTACCGTAAAGCTTTGAACCATTTATTTCATATGATAATATCGACAAGAAGACACACACAAGTATCATATGTTCTCAAGTTTCTCATAACTCGCTTAGCACTATTATGGCCTTGCCCTCATCCTATTCAACAAACTTTTATGAGAGAAACTCCAACTCTCAATTGAGGCGGCATCACTTCGAAGTTCATCTAGGTGAAGTTCTTTCAGTACCTTTGTTACTTTTAGAGATACTTATGTTTTAACACTGAACTTCATTAAGAGCTTAAAGTTCAACCCTCACTTTAGTAACAACCAGCATTATTTTAACTAAGATAGGATCATTGCGGATTGAAATAATGCTACAACTATTCACATATCGAATGACTTGTTACCCTTTGAACCCGTAGGTTATCTTTTGAGTAATGATGGGTAGGGTTGCCGTCATTGGTGGACTTTTATAGGTTAGGAGTTGCAACCCCATCCCACTCGAAGTAGATGTGACAAAAAATTTTATTGAGTGGTCTAGTTAAAAGATCTGCTAAATTCTCTTTGAAAATTATTTTACCTTTCATAATTTCCTTGTAAGTCATATTTATGACTTATATATCTAGACTTTTCATTGCTTATGACTTAGTATCTTATCAAATATAGCTAGTCAACGTTCAATTCATTTGATAGATATGACTTGTCACCTCTAAGAAATCTTTTACTTACTAGCTTCATCAAAAGCTTTATTCATATTCAAACATGGTTGGAAGATTTTTATCAACCTTTACACTAGTAAATCACTTTAATTTGTGGATTTCATACTTGGGTATTCACTTATCATCACTGATTCATTACAATGATCTTTAATTTATGAGTATTATTTAAATATTCCCATTGGTTTTGCAAGCGCCATGACCTGCTTTCACTCATTTCATCGACTTTAGACTTAGTTTATTTTATCCTTGTAAAGGATTTTCTACCTTTTATTCTTCATAGATATTTTTCAATAATTAGAAGGTATTGGTAACTTTTTAAAAATAAGTTACCCCCACAATTCCTCAATTATGAATTCATATGCAATTCTTTAATGTTGCATTCACAAGTCTTGAACTTCTCGTATAAGTTCAAACATTAATGTCAACCCCCACATTTGGGATTATATTTGAACTTAGAGTTTATTAACTC